AAAAAAAAAAAAAAAAAAAAAAAAAAAAAAAAAAAAAAAAAAAGCAGCTAAGTGGCACAGTGAATAGAGCTCCAGCCTTGGAGTCAGGAGGACCTGAGTTTAAATCCGGCCTCAGATGTTTCACACTTCCTAGCTGTGTGACCCTGGGCAAGTCACTTAATCCCGATTGCCTCATCAAAAAGCAAAAAAAAAAAAAAAAATTTATTTTCAAAAGAAGAAAACATGAAAGATAAACCTGTCTACAACTCAAAAATAAATGAATGAGGGGCAGCTAGGTGGTACAATGGATAGAACACAAGCCCTGGAGTCAGGAGGACCTGAGTTCAAATTTGGCCTCAGACACTTACTAGCTATGTGATCCTGGGCAAGTCACTTAACTCCAATTGCCTCCTTAAAAAATTAATGGGGAAAAAAAAATATATTATATATATGTATATGTTTATATGTATACACACACACACACACACACACACACACACACACACACATATGGAGGGGAAGGAAGGAGCGAGCTTAAGTGGTCCAACAAGTTATGAGAGGACCTGGGCAAAAGTCTCCCAGGACAGTCTATGATTTGCCCCATTGATGAGATCATGGAATACATTTCAGCAGGAATACAATGCACCTAATGAAAAAAAACTAAGGGAGAAACAGAGAAGAAAACAGGGGTGGGACTCACAGTGAAGACAGCCTGGAGATTATTGAGCTTCTCAATCTCCTTCGGCATCCCATTGCTGCCCCAGCGGATCAGGTAGTTCTCACTGGTGATATTAAAACGAGAAATGCAAGACTTGTCATCAGGGAAATGTCTGGGAAGGGGGGACTGGCGTGGGACTCATTAACTCTGACTAGCAGTCAGGAAGAACAACAATGTCACCCTTCTTTGTATTTTAACTGTTTGCTTTATTCAAGGAGATGGAGGACATAAGGCAGATGCCAATGGCCTTCCTCCTCAAACTCCTTTCTACTCATTGGTTATGTGTTTTGTCTATAATTAGATATGTACAGGTTGTTTCCTCATAGAATATAAGCTTCTTGAGGGCAGGGACTGTTTCACTTCTCTTTGTAAAAAAGCACAAGCTAGTGGATCAAGTGTTGGACTGTAAAAGTCATGAAAATCTGGGTTCAAATCTGGCCTCAGATATGTACTAGCTGTGTGACCTTGAGCAAATCACTTAACTTCTCTTTGCCTCTGTTTCCTCATCTGTAAAATGGGGATGATAATAGGACCTACCTCCCAGGGTTACTGGGAGGATCAAATGAGGTAAATATATGTAAAGCATGCTATAAATCTCAAACTTTAAAACATTAGCTATTACTATTATCATTAATATTATCATTATTATTATTATTATTATTATTATTAGTAGTAGTAGTAGTAGTAGTAGTAGTAGTTATAGTAGTAGTAGTAGTAGTAGTAATAGTAGTAGTAGTAGTAATTATAGTAGTAGTCATAGTAGTAGTAGTAGTAATAGTCCCAGGGCTTAGCACAGTGCCTGACACATAGTAGGACTTTAATAAAAGCTTTCCCCCCTGGCCCTGTTCCTGATTTTCTGGATTTCAAAACCATGCCTCTGCTGCTGTCAAATCCTGGAACATTGAACCCTTCTTGTGGTTTTTTCACCCTGAAATATACCCCTGCAAGACCTATCCCTCTTTTCTATTTGTGAGTTCCTTTCAGGGTCTCCATTTTATGGAGTAGGCCAGTCCAACCAGGCCTCATTCCCTCCCAGGCCTTTTCCTCATTTTTTGGACTTCAAAACCTTCTACCCCTCCTTTTGTGTGTAATGAATGTAAGAACCTGGAGGGTAGGGAATGACTTTCTTTTAGCTTGTATTTGCATCCCCAGTGTTTAGCTTAGCAGAGTACCTGATACTTAATAAATCTTAATAAATCTTCCTGGGCAGCTAGGTGGTACAGAGCTCCAGCCTTGGAGTCAGGAGGACATGAGTTCAAATCTGGCCTCAGACACTTGACACTTATTAGCTGTGTGACCCTGTGGGCAAGTCACTTAACCCTGATTGCCTCACCCAAAACAAAACAAGACAAAAAATAAATCCTTCTTCCTTCCCCCTTTGTCTTCCTTTTTGCCATCTCCCTTCTCCTTCTTCCTTCCCTCCCTCTCTCCCTCCATTCCTTCCTTCCTTCCTTCTTTCTGCCGTCATTGAGTAATAATCAGAGTGTGGGATCTGGCCACGTGTTGTCCAACACCACCCTTCCCTTATCTATAATTGCTTCTTAGGTTTCCTTCATGACGAAGTCAGACTAAGGCCATTGGATTTTGGGAGGGGTGAACAGGGTGCATTAGAAGGGGCTTCAGACACTCGCATTACCTGATAAATCTGGACTGATCAGGGTCGTAGAGGGCCATGAGCAGCTCAGCGTCCTCCCCAATATTGCAGACAAAGTTCTTGAAGTTGACATAGAGACAGTAGGTGTGCATCGTGTTGAAGATTGACTGGCCCCGCAAGTCCAGATTCTGTAGGATGGACTGAGGGCAGGAGGAAAGGGAGAAGACGAGTCTAGCTTAGGAAGGAAGGCCTGGGTTCAAATCCTTCCCCAGACACTTCCTAGCTGGGTGACTGGGAGGAGGTCACTGAATTCATCTAGAAAATGGGGATAATAATGCCTGTTTCTCCCACTTTCCTAGCAGACCTCTGTCAGCCTCAGTTTTCTCATCTGTAAAATAGAGATAATCATGAAACCTACTCCACATGATTGCTGTGAGAATCAATCAATATATGTGAAGGCTTTTCTTAAAGAGCTATAAATGCTGCCTGTTATTATCATCATGTCTCCCTGCTTTTATTTACTGATCTAGAAAGAGGACATATGGTTTTCTTATCTGAAGCTGTATGGTGCTGAGCCACTCAAGATGCAGATGCTACGAATGGTCCTTTCTGGGCCATCTTTAGAATAAACAGTTAACATGGAGAGGAGGGCGCGAGGGAGGGGGCTTTACCCTCCCATCCCAGGGGATGTACCTTCTCTTCTTGGATCCTTTCTTCAATCCTCTGGGAGGCTACTTCATGGGCCCTGAACAGGGCAATCGTGCTGGTCTCATCGGGATCCAAAATGTTTCCATTGTCATCTCGTACCACGAGGTCAAGTCCAAGCATCCTGGAAAGAGAGACAGGGAGAGTCGGTCCATATGAGAAAGACCTTCAAGGAGGGGATGGCTGCTCAGAAACGTCCATGAAAGCCAGTACTGCCTCAGTCCCTCAACCAGAAGGGGCAAGACCCAAAGAGCAGAGCCCTAGCTCAGGTGGGACACCTTGAAATCGATGGCCAGCCCTTCCATCCATTTGCTGCCTGACTTTGGCCAAAGGTCTCTGCTTCCTCCCTGCTTCAGCCTGTGCTTTGAAAAACACTGCCCTACGTGCCTTACACAAAAACTACAAATTGAAAGAGAGACAAAATAATATTTAATCCTGAAGCTCACAGGGAACCATTGGAATTTAGCCAGTCAGGGAGTGGCGTGATCAGCTCTGCCCTCGAGGAAGAACACTTTTACCACGTAGTGATTGACGGAATGGAGTAGAGAGAGGCTGGAGGCCGTCGCGTCGTGGCTGCGGTTGTCCAATTGTCCAGTCACGTCCCACTCTTCGTGACCCCGGGGACTTGTTTGTGGGGTTTTCTGGCAAAGATACTGGAGTGGCTTGCCATTACCTTCTTCAATGTCTTACTTTTGTAATTGTACACCATTTTATAGATGAGGAACTGAGGCAAATTGGGGTTAAGTGAGCTGAGGTCGGATTTAGGACTTATATCTTCCTGAGTCCATGGCTGGTGCTCTATCTACTGCACCATTTAGCTGCCCTGGCACAGAGTAAGCAATTAATAAATGCTTGTTGACCGACTCACCAAATGTGTGTGGTGCCCCTCATCTTCCTGCAGCTATGAGGTTAGCTGGAGGGCTGGGTGGAGGCACGTGGAATTGAAGAAGGGTACAGTTTCCCTATGCATCTGATAGTGTGGGTCCCTAGGTTTTAGTTTTGTTACAACTATAATGGGGCCAAGATCTGGGGAGAGGTAGGAACTGTACAGCCATCCCACCTGAATGTGGTAGGCTTCCATAATAATGCATCATGGAGATGCTTTGCTTGTGTTGGCCAAAGGCTCCATGCTTGCTTATGGACAGTGCGTGAATGAAATACACATCATATTCTGATCACACAAACTAACCTCATACACAATGGCCCCTTGGGACCAGAGCACCCTCACAGATGGCTATACTAAATCACAGACACTCTGTGCTCAATGAAGGGAATACCCATCATTGGAAGTACTGTTATTTCCAAGACCATTGAAAAGCAGTGTTGCCTATAGGTTAGGGGCATATAAGGGCAGTTAGGGGGCAGAGAGGATAGAACACTGGGCTTGGAATCCAGAAGACTCATCTTCGTGAGTTCAAATCTGGTCTCAGACATTTACTAGGTGTGTGACCTTGGACAAGTCATATACCCTCTTTGCCTCAGTTTCTTCACCTGTAAAATGAGCTAAAGAAGGAAATGGCAAACCACTCCCCATATCCACCAAGAAAACCCCAAATGGGGTCATGAAGAGTCGGATACAACTGAAACCACTCGACAAGACAACAATATAGGTTAGAGCACTGGAGTCTGAATTGGAAAGACCTGCCTTCAAATATGGAGATAATGCCTGTTTCAGCCAGTCTCCAAGGGAATAGTGGCAGAGCTGTGGATTTGGAGTCAAGACCCCACGGGCTCAATTTCTCCCTTAAGTCATTTACTAGGCAGGTCACGTGGGCCTCTGTTTCCTCACCCATAAAATAAGGGTCTCAGAGTCTGTAACCTCTCCTAGTTATGTCTTACAATCTTTTCTTACTGGGTTATTTTGAGGCTCAAAGCACTTAAAATGTCAAGGACTTTCCAGATATTAACATGCAATAGAAATACCAGTGACTGGTATCTTTATTGAGATGACTTTTTAAAAAATAATAATAATTGCCTTGCTAAGAGACCACCTACTAGGACCTGGGGACATGGCTATCTATGTTGGTGGGGAGCCCACACCAATTACAGATCTTTCTAAGGATTAAAATGTAGGTGCTGCTATAATGCTTAATAATTACCTTACAAAACATGATTCTTTTCTCAGGATAATTCCAAAGATCAGCAAATGAGCAGGTCTGCTTTTTTTTTTTTTAGGTTTGGCACACCCAGATTATCTCGGTTTCACAAACTGAACAACCGTGGGCCATTGCCTATGGGCCCACATTGTAACCCTATGGAGCCATAAAGGGCCCCCCCTCAAAAATCAGGGACGTTGGGATGCACAATCATTTGTGCCACTTTGTGCAGCAGCTTGGAGACTGGCAGAGCAAAGTAGAGCCCAGAATTTGGCCTCCACCTCCTGTACACTGGTCCTCAGCTATTGGACCCCATGGATGACAAACAGAGGAAAAGGAAAAGCGGCCTAGAAAACAAGAGTCTCTCATTTGCCTCCTCCTGAGCCCAAGCATCTTCATTAACTACAAGCTAGAGGAGGCTTGGCAGGTTTTGCTCTGAGTCGGCCAGGCCCACAGGCCTCCTGATTTCTGCTTAAACCCATGAAAGTGGGGCTTGGCTGCAGAGAAGGCCTAACCCCTGGCATGGTGATGGGGCAGCCTCATTTCCTGACTGGCGTCCAAGGGCTGGCCGGGGCAGGCAGGCACAAGCTGCCCTGGAGAGGAGCGGGGGAGGTGGATGTCAAGGTTCTCGGGCCCTCTGTGGCCCAAAGCCCAAGGAGACTAGGCTGGCTCGTGGGCAGGGCCAGAGTGGCCTCAGATATCTCCCACAATCATACTGCAGGCATCTTGAAAGTCCTTGATGAGGAGTGAAAAAATATCCTTCCAGGGTCTCAGGGAGCCTTCTTTTGTTTGTAAAGCCCTCCTCATGTGTGAATTCCTTTGGGCCTCACAATAACCCCTTAAAGAAGGATCACAGCACCACAGATTTAGAGATGGAAGGAGTTTTAGAGGCCATTGAATCAAAAAGATCCATTTTACAGGTAAGGAGACTGAGGGCCAGAGAATTTAAGTGGAACAGCATCTGAGGTGGGACTTTAACCCAGAAAACTCTCTTTAGCTACCTTCAAGAGGATGAGGAAGATGGTTATAATTAATATTCTTCTTAATTTTTCAAATAGGGAAACTGAGGCTCAGAGAGGTAGAGGAATTCACCCCTAGTCACACAGCTAGCAAAATGAAAACTCTCAGGTCTTGTGACTCCAAATCCAGGGCCTCTAGTATTATGTCCACTTTACAGATAAGGAAACTTGAGTCTTAGAAAAGTAAAATGACTTGCCTAAGATGATGCAGTTAATAACTACTGGAATCAAGATTTGAACACAGGTGACCCTGGGCAAGTCACTTAACCCCATTGCCTAACCAAAAAGAAAAAAAAAAAAAGATTTGAACACAAGTCATTCCCTTGTCCATGTTCAGTGCTCTTTCCATATCACCATGACAGGGGAAAAGCTGGCTCATTAAAGAAAGAAAACATCTGAGAGAACCCAGATAAGGCTTTTAAAACCAATGGATACCCATTTATTTAATTAATCAGTCAAAAAAGCACTTATTAAGTGTTTTCTATTTGCCAGGCACCGCGTTGGGTGCTGGAGAAATAAAGACAAAAATGAAATAGTCTCTGTCCTCAAGAAGCTTACATTCTATGGGGATACAACATATGTGTGTAAAAATATGTAAAATAAAGCCAATATCATTGGGGAGGAGAGATCATTAGGAGCTGCACAGAACAGGAAAAGCTCTTGTGGGAGGTAGCACTTTAGGGGAGATTTTAAGGCAAGAGGGGATTCTATGAGGCCAAGGTGAGGAGTGAGTGCTTTCCAGACACGATGGCTGGCCAATACCAAGGCCCGGAGATGAGTGATAGAGATGAGTGTGCAAGCAGGCCACTGTAGAGGGATCAGAGCATATGGAGGGGACCAAATAATAAAGGTTAGATTGGCAAGAGCACTCAATGCCCAAACAACGTATATTTTATCCCAGAAATAACAGGGAAGTAATGGACTTTGGTGATGGTGCCGGAGTAGCATAGTCAGACCTACGCTTGAGAAAAATCACTTTGGCAGTGAAGTACAGGACAGATTGGAGTAAGGAGCATGGGGTAAGTAATATCAATCAGCCAACCAACAACCACTTATTAACTATCCATTCTGTACTAGGTACTGGGGACACAGAAACAAAGAATGAAACAATCCCTACTCTCAAGTGTACAGTATTATAATCTATTTGGAAGGCAGCATGTGTTTGTGTGTATTATGCGTATGTACACATATTGCATACATAAGTAAACATGTGCATATTTATATACAGGATAAATACAAGGAAACGGGGGGCAGGGCGTCAGGCTTTGTCTTGAAAGAGGATTCTATGAGGCCAAGGTGAGGAGGGGTGCATTCAAGGCATGGGGGACAGCCAGGGCAAAGTCAGAGAGATGGGAAGTGATTGCCACCAGCGAGGACTAGTGAGAAGAGACATTTAGCTGGATGGTCGAGTGTGGGAAATGGAATATTGGATAATGATGCCAGAAAGGTTGTCGTGAAGGGCTTTAGAAGTCAAGTAAAGGAATTTTATCTTATCCTAGAGGCAAAAAGTAGCCATTGGGGTTTATGGAGCAAGGGAGTGATGCAGTCACACCTATACTGGAGAAAAATCAATTTGGCAGCAATAGAGAATGTATTATAATGGGGGGTAATATGTGAAAGACCAATTAGGAGGCCAGTGTACTAGCCCAGGATGGGTGAGGAGGATGTCAACTAACACGGTGGTCCAGCTAGCAGAGAGAGACTTTTTGGAGGTAGAAACAACCGAGATTTGGCAGCTGATTGGAGAGTAGAAAGCTAAGGATAGAGCTGGGGTCCAAAGCCTAGGCATTTGGAAGGGTGGCAGTGACTCCAATAGGAATAGGGTCATTGGATAGAAGGGTATCTTTGGGGGAAAGAGGATAAGTTCTGTTTTGGATATGAAATGGGGAGCCACTGAGGTTTGCTGAGTAAGGAAGTGATACAGTCAGATGTGTGCTTTGGGAAGATCGTTTTGGTAGTTGTATGGAGGATGTATTAGTGAGGGGAGAGATCTGAGACAGGGAAATGATGTAGGAGCCATTTGTGGAACAATATTCCAATTGATTGTGTCATGACAGAAGAAATCATGATAAAGGAACATTGTAGAAAATTACTAGCTCTGAGAGATACTGAATGTGAGGAATTCACAGAATTGTGAGAAGACTTTTATGAAAGAATATAGGGCAAAGCAATTAGAACCAATACAAAGAAATGACTGCATTAAGGTAAATGAAAAGAACCTAAAATGAAGGCAAGCGCTCAGTAACTGTAATGGCCAATCTAAGCCCCTAGAGAAGGGATGACAAAAAAGCAGCTCCCTCCTTTCAGCAAGAGATGTGGAATGTTTTTTACACTGTCATAAATGGTTGCTGTGTTGGGTGGTTTTGCTTGTCTGTCTTTCTTTCCTTTGAGGAAATGTTCACTGGGAAGATGTGTGTGTATGTGTATGCTGTGTGTGTGTCTGTGGGAGTAGATCCCAAAACAAATAAGATACAAAAGCAAAGGGCATCCATAACATTAATGTTTTTTTATAAGATTTCAGATTGCTAGGTAGTATCCTTGGGCTTAAGCATAAATACTTCTATAGAATAACAGCAACATTTGGTAAAGTTTGATCCTGCCCAGTGGAGAGTATACTGAATTATATAGACTCCAGTTAATTTCTAATCCTTTCGTTAATAGCCCTTTATTGTACTATAGCCAGTAAGAGATGCATTTTAATATTTCTGTTTCTCTACATTTGTTTATGAGATTTTTATAACTTAATATATGGTCAATTTTTATAAAGGTGCCATGCACAGTTGAAAAACACGTACACTCATTTTTATTCCCATCCAGTAATCATCAGAGATCTATCCTATCTAGTTTTTCTAAAATTTTATTCAGGTAGATTCTTCCCTGGGTCCTAAACCAACACCTAGGGATCTTCCAGAGGGATCGGGAGCCTGCACTCACTGTCCAGAGCTCTAGAGATAGGCCTATAGCACAAGTGATGCTCAGAACCTAACTGAGCCTCAGCTGAGGCAAGCAGCCCAGGGCCCGGATTACTGACCTAATTGGGTCTAAGAGCTCGGAGCCTTTAGCTTCAAATTGCTCAAAGCATAATGCGGACAACAGTACTCTTTGGACAACCGTAGAGGAGGGTTTCCCAGAGGAGCAGGGATCTTAGAACCAGCCCCTAGAGCTCACTTTAGGCCAGCAATACTGGGTTGCCCAGAGCATATCACTGGAACAATTAATAGAAAAAACAAACAAAAGAAAAAGGGTTATCATGAGGCCAGACCTGCCCAAGGCACTAACTACAAAATACTTAACAGCAAAGCCCCAAAGAAAAACAGTTGACCATAAGATTGATAAGAATTTGAAAAAGAAATTATTCAAGAGTTAAAAATTAATTAAAATGTTATAATAAATGAAATGAGTGTGATATGGGCAAGAAGTGGATAAGAAATGAAAGTTTTGGGGAAAAGACCTGGAAAGAGATTTAATAACTGGACACAAACTGTACAAAACCTTACCCAAGTAACAGACTCACTGAAATTCAGAATGGACCAAAATTCTTGACTCCATGAGACAATGAAAAAATATTACAACAAAGAAGCAAAATGAAAAATGGAAGCAATTATAGCAATTGAACAGTCAAACAAATCAAAGAGAGATCATTTAAGAATCACTGAACTACCTGAAAGACACAAGCAAAAAATAATAAGAGCCTAGAAATCAATTTCACAAAATCATAAAGAAAAATGCCCGGATCGCCTATTACCAGCAAAGTGGAAACAGAAGCAATTGACCATTTTATGGCCAAATTCCAAAGCTTCCAGGTTAAAAAAAAAATGCTTTGAACACTCAAAATGAAAAAAATTAAAATACTAAGGAGCCACAATCTAGCTCACACAAGATTGAGTAGCTTCCACTCTAAAGGAACAAAGAGCAAAAAATGAGATATTCTGAAAAGCCAAAGATGTGTGTTTACAACCAAGAATAACCTGCAGGGATTTTCATTCTTCTTTTTCCCACGATGGGAGTGGAGGGAAGAGAATTCATGGGAGAGAGACCAGATGCTTGTTAATTGAAAAAAAAATTAATAAAAAATTAAAATCGGAAAACATCTTTATTCAAGACCTTAACTTCTTTCTAGTCATTTTTCATTAGCTTTGATAGCTTTGAAAGGGAACACTGAGGTCTTTCAGTATTAAAGTTTTGCTATTTCTCCTTGTAATTCATTACTTTTCTTCCTTTATGTGTTTATATACTATACGATTCAGTCTATATGTGTGAAGTAGTGACATTAATAGAAGTCAGAAGGTCTGGGGTCTACTAACTTGGTGGTAACTAACAGTCACTTTCTTGTTCCATACCTCAGGTTTCCTCATCTGTAAGAGGTGGATGATAACCCCTGTTGTACCCCCATCCAGCAAACGTGTCAAATGATTTGCAAAAACAACAAAGTTTTACTATTCACTCACTCATTTATCAAGCACCTACTATAAAGATCAGCAATCTGATCACTGGGTTTTCCCCATGACGCAGACAGCATGGCCCAATGGGAAGATCCGTGGATACGGAGTCAGAGGAGTGAGGTTCAAATCCTGCTTTCTACACTATCCGTGAAGTCACTTAGCCTCTCTAGGTCTCTGGTTCTCATCCGTAAAACAAAGTGGGGTTGGGATAGCTGGTGTCTATTGTCCATCCCTTCAGGGCCTATCTATGCTCTTCCTTGTCGCCCCAGAGTTCAGCACAGTGCCTGACCCAAAGGGTCCGACAATGCTTGGCACCAAGGCTGCCTTTGGAGCCTCAGAACAGCTGGAAGCTTCACCAAAGGCTTTCCTCACAACCATTCCAAAGAGGAAGTACACGTGTTATTGCCCCCATTATACAGAGCAGGAAACTGTGGTTGAGAGCTAAGTGCTCTCTAAGGCCTTACAGAGGGGGAAGGGGAGGAGGAGTAGGGTTTCGGTTACTTTATAAGGAAGTGGGGCTGCCAGCATTATTCATCCACCATTAATAAGGTCCACTGGCCTTCGGGAAGAGTCCCAGGCAGAAGGCCGCCCTGCCAGGGTTCCGCCCCAGCTCACCTGTTGCCGTGATCGATCTTGGCTGTGACCTTCTTCTTGAGCTCAGCCAGCTCATCCTTGGGGAGGGTCCCTGACAGGATCTGAGACCTCCACTCAATCAGGCTGTAGGTCATTTGCTGCAGCTGGCGGAAGAGGGTAACCTTGTTGTTCTGTAGGGAGGAAAGGAAAAAGGCTCTGAAAGGACCCCAGGCTGGAGTAAGTCTGAGCAAAGAGGCAGAGATGGCATTTATGGCCATCCCCTCCTTCAGGGAGCAGGGCAGCAGAGCAGAGCCCCCTCCCCCACTTCTGGCAACAGGGAGGGGTTTGTGCTGATGCATCCACATTCTGACCTGGTCTTCTTTGGGACCAATGACATGTATGCATTTGGGAGTCGGCAAGCCAGGGTTAGTGGTGGATCACTGGATCACTGGATTACAGAGTCAGTGCTAGAAGATCATTGAAGCCATCCCTCACATTTCGCAGATGGGGACCTGAGGCACAGTGAGTTTTTATGCCTTGCACAGGGTCACACAGTTACTATGTATATGGAGCGAGACTGGAATCCAGGTCTTCCTGGCCGGAGCGCTGTCCCTGGACTATTCTCCCTTTCACCCCAGTGGCCTGACAACTCTGACTTGTGTAACCTCCTACTCCACCTGCTGATTCGTCTTGGGAACCTCTACTTGAGGAAATACCTGCATCAGCCATGCACACTCGGGACTCTACCCAGCCCTCGACTCCCCTGACTTTCCAGACTCCTCCACCTGAATTCCACCCCAGTATGCTCCTCACACCCTCCGGAGCTTTTCATGGAAGCACCTGGAGGGCAGGAACTGTTTTTATTTGGGCTTTTATTTGTATTCCCAGCTCTTAGCACAGTGTTTGATCCATAGTAAGTGCTTAATAAGTATTCTATTTCTCAATTCATCTATGTATCTATCATCTTTATTTATCTATGTAGCCATCTATCTATGTATCTATCGATTGATCAGTCTATCATCTCCAACATCTTTGTTTATCCACATCTATCTACCTGTCTACCTACCTATATGGCTGTCTACCTGTCTATTTAATCTGTCTATCCACATCTGTCTATCATCTATCTATATCTATTTACATCTATTTATCTGTCTATCCACATCTATCTATCATCTACCTATATCTATCTTCATATATCTATTTATCTGTTTATCCACATCTATCTGTCTATCCACATCTGTCTATCTATCTAGTCACCCACTATTCACACGCTGCCTCTCTCTTCTGTGGATTGGAGACCCAATTTTTGGGTATGAATTTCATAGTCTTAAGTTTTGTTTTGTTTTGGTCTAGACCTTTGATTTTTCTTTTTCAGCCAGAGACAAGGTTTATAAAAAATCCACCATGTTGGCCAGACTCTTAAGGAATCTGAGCGCCTGTGAGCTATTGGCTAGATTGTAAAAATCTGAGCAGTGGCTAGATTATAAGAGTCCGAGCCTGGACCTTTGAATTTTTTTCCATGGTGAATTCCTTGATATGGAAACTCCTGAGACCAATGCAGATGAGCAAGTGTGAGTCAAATCTTGCCTTTGATGTTCATCACCCATGTGACCTTGGGGACAAGGTCAGGTGACCTCTAAGGATCACCCTGGACCTCAGTTTCCTTGTCTGTAAAACAAGGAGGTTGGGTTAGATGGCCTGAGGTCCTATTCTGCTCCAACTGTGGTGGCATTGTTTTTCTTCTGTCTCTGTATTCCCAGGACCTCAAACAGGGATAAATAGCAAATGCTTGATGGACAACGAGTAGTCCTGAGTATTGAGAGGCATGTGACTTGTCCACAGTCACAAAGCTGACAGGTTCTGAAACTAGGTTTTCCTGATTCCGTAATCAGCTCTGTAGCCAACACTCTACTCAACTAGCCACGTTGCCTCTCTTATCTTAAGTCAAGCCTTGTCAAGAATCATGAAATATGTAGACTGCAGGGCGAGTTTAAAGCTCCTATAAGTAAATACCTCTAGTTTCATGGATAAGAGGCAGAGCCTTACGGGAAACCCAGGGCTCTTTCTACCATTATGCCTCTTCTAAGGAGGAGTTTTGAAAGTCTCTCCATTAACAAACTACTCTCACAAGGAAGTCAATAGCTCAGTCATTACATCAAGATTTGCAAAAAAAAACCCCAAAAAGCAAAAACCCTTCACAAGATGAGAAAGGTAGAATTAGTAACTTCTCAGAAAAAAAAACCAAAACTGGAGTTTTCAGTGGCCTACAAGCTCAACATTAGTAAACTGTGTGATATGACAATCCAAAAAAAACCCCTAATACTAACGTTAATATTAATAACAGTGAACATTTGTATATCATTTACTATGTGCCAGGCACTGTGCTAAGCTCTTAAGAGAGTCATATCACACAGCTAGGTGGCGAAGTGGATGGAGCACCAGCCCTAAAGTCAGGAGGACCTGAGTTCAAATCTGGCCTCAGACCAAACACTTGACACTTACTAGCTGTGTGACCCCGGGCAAGTCACTTAACCCCAATTGCATAAAAGAAAAAAAAAAAGAGAGAATCGTATCATTCTTTTTCACTCGGGCTGAGTCCTCTTGGGGATCTGGGATGCATAACGTGTAACGACCACTTGACCCTTTGGTTGAAAAAAGTTTTATTATTCACTCATTCATTCATTACTTATTTGTCAAGCACCTACTATGTGCTTGACAATATGTGAAGTAAATGAAGCAATCTCTGTCCTAAAGGAGCCTCCATTCTGTTGGAAGTGATGAAATGACCAGAGCCTTAGATTCAGGCTCAGCAGTCCTCTGTCTGTAAGTCTTGTTTCTGACACCCATTAGATGGATAAGTGAACTTTTCAGAATTTTTATTTCCTTGTCCGTCGATGTAGATGGGTTCTGACCGTCTTTGCATGCCTAGGGCTTAGCACAGTACCTGGCACACAGTCAGTGCTCACTGACTGACTGACTGATATCTGGTGGATCCTCTAGCTCTGGGTGCCATATTTGGGGAAGGACACTGATCAACACTAGCTGATCTCTAAGCAGGAGACCAGGACTATGAGAAGCCTAGAGACTATACTTTGTGAGGATCATTTGAAGGAACTGCAGGTCTTTGGCTTAAAGAAGACTTGGGGGAAAGGGGGAATCATAACCATTTCTTCAAGGATGCGAAATACTTTTATGTGAAAGAAGGATGAGATTTGCTTTGATTGCTCCCAGAGTGCAGCAGTGGGTGAAGGCAGATTTCAGCCCAATCTGAGGAGAAAGAGCCCACTGGAGAATGGACCTTCTTGGGAGGCATGGACCCCTCCTCCCCCAACTGGAGGGTTTTGAGACAAAGGAGATCTACCACTACCAGGCATGTTATTCAGACGATTCTTATTTGGGGTAAGAACTGAATTCAGTGTCCTTCAGATCATTTCCCTTTTCTATCCTGCCAACCAACCGGGCTCCAGAAAAGCATAAAACAGGGTGTTTTTGGTGGTTATTGTTGTTAAAACTTGCTTCTGATAAGCAGAGGCCCACCCAGACTTCTCGGGCAGCTCTACTAAAGATAGGGCAATACTGAGGTCGAGCTGAAGTTGCCCTGGGAAGCGTCAGAAGGGGGTGAGAAATCCAGCCCGCTCTTCATTATGACATCGGGGGTTCCAAGCTGATAAGAAAAAGTGATCTTTTTGCTCATAGACTCCCAGATTCTTCGAGATGAAAAGCAGCTCATCCAGAGTATGCCAGAACATGAATTCCCCCGGCTCCATTTCTTTCGAGGCAAGCGGACAGGAAGCTAGCTGGATGATCTCTTCATTATACATGACATGGGTTCAAGAGGCCCCAGGCAGTCTCTGCTTTGTTCTTGCCCGTGCTCCTTCCTCTCTAGTTTCAATTAAATTAGAGCCTGTCAAAGCCACTCTAATGAAGACCTCTGCATGCCAGCCCTGTGTGCCAAGTCCTCGCCAAAAGGAGGGTGAGAGCAGCCACTCTATTTAATTTCCCCCTGTCATCAGAAAGCCCAACAAGTGAGCTGAAGGCCTCAATTGTCCCCTTTACTTTAAAGAAATTAGTTTAGAGAGTGCACTCCAGGGGGGTGCCAAGGAGAGGGGTCATTGGAAGAGAGTGCCTATGCAAATGGAGACGTGGAAAAGGGCAGTGCTTCTGAGAAAGTGCAGCCAGCCTCTGGGATAGATCACAGGTCTTAAATGAGAAGAAGCCTTAGTGGCCAGTGAGTCTGACTTGCTCATTTTGCAGATGAGAAGACTGAGACTCAGACTTGTCCAGGGTCAAGATCATTGGTTCATAGATCTGGAGTGAGAATGGACCACGGAAGGTATCTCTTTTAGTCCCTTCATTTTACAGACGAACAGACCAAGGCCTCAGAAAGGTGAGAAGTACCACTGATCTAGATTCCAAAGGGGTTTTCTTTTTTGTTTTGTTTTGTATTTTTTTTTTTTCATTTTTAGGCAATTGGGGTTAAGTGACTTGCCCAGGGTCACAAGCTAGTAAGTGTCAAGTGTCTGGTCAGAGGCCGCATTTGAACTCAGGTCCTCCTGACTTCAGGGCCGGTGCTCTATCCACTGCGCCACCTAGCTGCCCCTCCAAAGGCTTTTATAAGCCTTGCAGTCTATCCTTCATTTATAGACAAGGAAATTAAGATCCAAGGAGGTTACAAAATCTGTCCCAAGTCATACAGATGGTAATCATCAAAAGTGGGATTTGAACCCAGGGCTTCTGCCTCCTGGGCCACAGCTCTTTCTATTATCACATGAAAAAGTCCATCAAACAAAGTCAGAATGGAAGGGGAGGGAATGGGAATCCAACCATCACTTTTCTCTTTACACAGTAATTACCACGTCATATCTCCCCTCTCATTAACTTCAGAATTGGAAGGGAGAGTGAGAGGGAGGGGAGGTCTCATGGGCCTGCAGATCACAAATGAAATATTTGAAAAACTGAGTGAAGGTTTCCATAGGAATGTTCTTTTCTTAGTAATGAACCACAGGGACCTAATTTGGAGTTCTTTCATTGGTGAAATTACTCCTGGGAGCACAGACCTAGGGACACGGTGAACACCATCAGTCTAAAAAAAATTGAGTTTAAGGGTGATGAGTCCTGCAGGAAAGAAAGAATAAGTCATTATGATCTCCAAGTTCATAGGGCCATAGATTTAGAGCAGGAAGGGACTTTC